ATGTATATTTCATTCTTATAATAGTGAGTTATCGCTAGTCGCGTGTTACGCGGTCATTTGTGTCTCATGATGAGTTTGTGATGAAGAACCCGAGCCTTGGTTTCAAGCTTCAAGTGATTTTGAAGCTCGCCAAAAGGGTACACTTCAAGATAGTGAGAATAGTTACATTACTTTGTGTAGTGTAAAATTTCACCCTGTGTAGGCCCTTGTGAAGGGAAGTTTCGAGACCCTCTGTGGTTGGGGACAGTGTGGCACTATTCCACATCACTGTACCTTGGCTCTTGGGGTTTGTAGGAGCTGGGAGCCATTCCCAACTTGTAACTCTTCTTACCTCTTCCCAATTGTGTGTTGTAAGACTATGTTGTTGCCATAGTGCCGTTCGTTCAAACCGACGCTGTGTCGTCAATTCTTAATGAAATCGTGCGATCTAAATTGTTTATTGTAGGCGACGTTAAGACGCTCTAGATCCAAGTTGAATCAGGTCATTTGGAGCTGTGACCAGATCGCTATGAACGTTTAAAACCGCTGTGAAAAAGATCCGACTGTGCACTCTATCTTTCGTTTTAGGCACATTAGAGCCTATTGTGTTTATAACAAGTGGTATCAGAGCCAGAGGTCTCCGATTCGAATCCCAATGTGCGCCAAGCGAGCGCCAATGCTCAAACGAGCCCCAAGTGAGGGGGAGACGACCCCAGTGAGGGGGAGATTGTTGGTGGGGCACTGGGATCGTCCCGAGTTGAGTTAGGGAGGGCTACAGGCGCGGCCTGGGGGGTTATGGGTGTGCTACCCACCATACAAACATGCCCTTTTAACCCAGTCGGTAGCAGGCTGGGCCAACACTTCCCTCTCATGGTTCTCTTGGAGTCCCCAACTCCAACTTTCTATGCCTTAATGCTTGTACTTCCTCCACCACTCTAGTCATGCAGCAGCTGGACGTTTTCATATGGTTCTCACTCTCTAGACCATCTTTTTAAGTGATTCAAATTGGAGATGGTAGCTAAGCCTAAGGGCGTGTGTGATTTTGTTTCAAACTTCCCAAAGTTTGAACTTTTATAACGGTTCTACACGGTAGGATACATAAAATAGATTTTCTGCCACGGTGCAAAGCGGTTTGAGTTCGAACTTTGACAGGTTGGGAAAAATCACACACGCCCTAAGGCGCAACGTCCTACCAAGTGGAGTTGTGTTTAGTTGGGTAATGAGTTCATCGTAGCTTCTCAAAGTGACGGATCCTGAACAACAAGTGGTATCAGAGCGGGTAGTCGACTTTGAGACGACGAATGGCAGTCAATTCTTAACCAATCTTGACGAATGAAACCATTTTCTGGTAGCGCTGCTCGCGACCTTTTGATTGGTGGCCAAATCGTATTCTAGTTAGAAGAATCCAGTCCGCGATGGTGTGTTTCGTAAAGTCAAAATTTCTGGCAGAATTCTCTCCAAGCAATTTCTCAAGTTTCCACCGTTCATAAGGCCTCAATACGACTGGAACGGACTCGAGAGGTGCTAATGGCAACATGGCTAGAGGTAGAGAGGCTGGATAGCAGGAGGGAGTTGCTGGTGGTGGAGTGGGGACTCACCAACCAGCCAACCCTGCGCTACCTACATCTACTACACCATCTCCAACAACCGCAGATCACGTGAAGGCATTCTATATCGAGAAATTCATGGGGGAGGACTACGAGCAATGGAGCTTCCGCATAAGGCTGATGTATACCCAATACAAGTTATTGGATCTAGTGGAAAGGAAGGAGAAGATGCCAGAGGCCGCAGAGATGAAAGGAGCGTGGATGAAGCGATCGTTCGACGCGTACATGCTCATGGTGCAAGCCGTTGGAGGACCCCAGCTTGACCATTTCAAGGACCGCTTGGGTGATCCAAAGTATGGCCCCAAGGCTTGGAAGAAGCTTTTGGATGTGCTACCGCAATAATTAGGGTTATTAGGATGGTATCACCTAATGTTGGATGTTGATGCAGTTGGATGTTGATGCAGCAGTTGGAAGGCCACTCACCAACACATGCTACCGGCATCGTGCTACTCGCGCGGCGGCTGCGCGACATCAAGTTCGTTGATGGAGAGCCGATGCAGCCCGTGTTGGACGAGATGCGCGACATCTTCACGAAGCTCCAAGGCAGCGGTGTGGTGTACCCTGATCTCGTGCAATGCGTGGAGATCGTGATACGGCTGCCGGAGTCGTGGTCTGCCCTTGCGATCAACCTCAACTCTCAACAGCCCTAGTGGAGCATGGATTTTATTCGCGCGCGCATCCTAGAGGAGGACTTGTGGCGGCGGAAAGTGGAGCGCTCGGAGGAGGGGGCTGGCTATGAAGTTGGGGGTGGAAAGAGTGGCTTCAAGAAGAAGTGGAAAGGCAAGAACAAGGACAACCATAAGAAGGATAGCAGCGAGGGCCAAGGGGAGGTGTGCTTCTACTGGAAGAAGCGTGGACATCGTTGGAGGAAGTGCTACCAACGACCTAAGGATTGGACCCCGCCTTCATGAGGAGCGGGGGAGCTAGTGGAGAGGATAAGGAGGGGGAGAAAGGCGGCAAATCTGGGGAGCAGAAGGCCAGGTTCTTTTTCTTCTTTGTGAACGAAGGCGCAACCGACCCCGCCATGGCTGCCAAGGTTCTCCTACACCCCCTCACCCATTGGGTGATTGACTCGGGAAGCTCCTGGCACATGACTCCTCGTGCGGATCTACTCGATGAGATTCAGCCTGCACCCATCTCTACAATTACATCTGCGACGGGTGCCAAGGCCAAGGTCATTGGCATGGGATGCGCCAAGTTTATGGGAGCGGATGGACAACTTGTGGGGCTGAAGAACGTGCTGTGGGTGCCGGACTTGTGCGCGAACCTGATTCCTACTAGCTGGTTGGGAGATGCGGGTGTGAACACCGAGACGATTGGCTCGGAGCGCTATCGTGCCTACAACGACGAGCGCCTCATTTGGGACCTGCAGCGGAAGGGAGATGTCCACAAGCGCATGTGGCAGATCCCGGTCCTCCCTTGGCGGAAATCGGGCAAGGCGGCAACCATGGCATCAATGGAGGAGAGCGTCGCCGAGGAGGAGCAGCAAGGTGTGCAAGGAGAGGAGCTGATTGGAGGAAGTGCGGCGGTGAAGGCGTCGGCTACCTCGGGCCAAGCAGATTGGGAGACTTGGCATCGGCGGCTCGCACACGTGGCTGTTTCCACATTGGAGATGATGCAGAAGCAGAAGTGCGTGCATGGGCTGCAACTGCAAGGAGATGGCGCTCACTATGGCAGCTGCGAGGTGTATATCTAAAACAAGTTTGCGCGGTTCCCGTTTCCACGTGCGGAGGGATCGGCGAAGGCACCATTGGAGGTGGTCCACGTGGACTTGGTGAGTCCTATGAGGACGGAGGGGACAAGGGTGTTGGTGTAAGGGCCTAATAAACTCAAGCTATTAAGACTTAATCAAACTTAAAACCTCTCCTCGGGGTCACCTCCAAGGGTCCCTGGGTGCCTGGTACAAGACCAGCCCCTATCCTCAGGTCCGAGTTTGTAGAGAGAGGAGTTAAGAATGACTTAGCCAAAATAACGAGAGTACCTTGAACGTCGCGCAGCGTGCCGTGCAGATCGTTGATCACATTAAGCTGAGAATTCGTTATATCGAAGCTCGCTCCAAGAGCTTTAAAATAAGCCAAGTTGCCTCGCGAAAAATTCTGCCATTACAAAAATATGGCTCAGACGGCGTTTGCCTAGCGTTGGAGTGCTAGCATACTAGCGTTGACTCGGGTAGCATTCCGCCGTCGAATAGCGCAGAAACGAAACTCCAGCGAGGAAGGAATTCGCTTGAATCAATTGACTATATTCAGGTACAAACAGAGAAGGAATATATAGTTCTAGCTAGCAAGGACTTTGGGAATCAACCTGGGAACAACCAGGGATGATCCCAAATATTTCCAAGCAACAGAACCAACCTGGCTGGACAAAATAGCAGGTGGTAGGTTGGTAAACAACCTCTGGTTCTGTTTTTCCAACCCGGGAAAACAACAACCAGGTTCAGGTTCTAAAAACAGAACCTGTTTTGTCTTTGCCCAACCAGCCAAATGCTAGTTCCGCTGGTTTCCCCTGGTCCTGTAGCATGCAGATACAGACAATCAACGTCCAACCTTCACCCAAATTGTACCCCTATAGTGCCTGCCCTGCTACACTATAGTCAATCAAACAAAACAGTACAATTTCGAGTTGGATAAAACTGAATCTGCGCAATCCATTCAACCGAACCGCAAAGCTTCCATCTAGGGTTCCTTTGCGAGCTCGTCCTTTCTGCTTGCACTGTTCATAGTGCGTACAATGTTGTGCCGAAGCGCACATTGCGCGAGTACCTGCAAATGCATCAAGCAAAAATTGCGAAAGCAAACAAACACACGAACATTCCATTCACACCCAAATGCATTCGCACACACATACTCGTACAAACAGATGGCAGGATGTCGTGCAATATGAATTTGCACCCAACACACTCCCCCTCAGCCAAACAATACAATACCCTGTTGAAGCTACAATACCTCTTCGCCATGGATTCTGCCATAACTTTGGACCGCGCAATGTCCTGCAATTTCTTGCCTGATGGCACATTACTTACTACCTTAGAGTTCGTCTTGACAAGAGCTTTAAGAGGTTGCCCTTCTTGTGTTCAGACATCGAACATTGGCAACTCTTGCCTGGTCGCAGGAACTCTCAAGTTCTGCGCCAGATGGCCGCTGCTAAGCGCTTTAAGACGTCCTTGGTTATCGTTCTTGCTTACGGATTGATCCAGACCCGCCAGACAAGCTGTTTTTCCTATCAACAACACTGGTTATTTCAAGGCTTAACTACCTGGATTTCATCATTGGCCTCGTTCACGGTTCCTCAAGGGAGGCAAGGCAGCATCATAAATGCGGCCACAAAACAAGCTGCGTAACAATATCAGTGCTCAGCAGAGGTTTCTTATCAGACTGTCTGCTCAGCCTGTTCCTCTGTCTTCATCATCGCACTATGGCACACGGTCGGCGCACTGGACGTGGGGGAGGGAAGGCAACGGGAGTTATTCATGCTCCGGATGATTCTACTCCTCCGCCGAGTGCTGAGCACTCTCCTGAGAAGAGTCCGCTGGTCTCTGCGCAAGCGTCACCGCTGGCTCCTCCGAAAGGCTCTATTGTGGACGATGTTGCGAAGACCTCGTTGCAGGAGCGCCTATCTGCACTTAAAGTCAACGGGCTGAAGGATAAGACAGTGGAGAGTGTTGACGTTATGCCTTCGCAGCCTGGCGTGGTGTCGGCAGAAGGCTCGGATCCGGCTCCAGTGGCTCCAGTGGTGTCTGCAAAGGGCAAGCAGGAGGTTGCGGAGGAAGAATGGTGGGACAGTGATGATGAAGATGACTTTGATCCTGTCGCGATTAACGCTCTGTCGGCTCAAGTCAGCTTCCCGATTACGCTGATAGTCCCTATCGAGTGGGAAGCGGAGGTTCCAAAGCTGAAAGCCACGGTCGTTGCTCACCTCGATTTTTGGAAGGCGTCGCTGACGGCGGATGCGCAGTCTACAACGCAGTATCAAGTTCTGTTGCCTGTGTTTTTGTCGAAGAAGAAGTATCATCGGCTTCAAGTTACCTTTCAGCATGCGCGCGATGCGGAGTTTGTTTGGATGCGGACGATTGAGCATGATCTGGGGAAGGGAGCTACTCTCAAGCTCGACTGGCAACACCCTGAGAACGCGGCTTACAAGTAGGAGCGTAGGCTGAATTCGGGAGCGGTTGAGGTGGTCCTGAAGTCGGTGCCTGCTGGTGTCTCTCCGGATCTGATTCGCAAGATGCTGACGGAGGTTGTTCTGATTAAGAAAGGGAAAGCGGCTTTTAATCGTGGTGTTTGGTTTCACAGGGTACAGGATCCAGTCACTGGAATGGACACAGACGAGGTGCGCGGCTTGGTGATTGAGCACGAGGACGATGACTCACCTTGGCGCCATGCTGTCACGGATCTGTCGAACCCGGGGAGGAAACTGCTGGTTCACTACCCCGCGCTTACCTGTGATTTCTGCAAGGGTCATCACATGACGCAGTATCATAATGCTTACGTCACCGAGCGTCAAGCCAACATCGGCAAATGGACCCTGACGGTCAGGAAGGTCCATGAGATCAACGGTATCTGCACTAAACAGTTTTTCGCATCACTCTTACCGTTGTGTTCTTTTCCGGAATTTCACACTGACGGCTTTGCTCACTCCTCCCCTCACAGCTGCATTGCTCAAAGTGCGCAACTGAAGGATGTTCTCAAAGACCCCGCGATAGTCCTCACCTCCACAGGGGGGTCGCGGGAGGATTGGGTGTGCATGATTGCCGCTTGCGACAAGGCCCAGGGCACCAGTTTCGAGCAGGCTTCGAATCACGTTGCGTCGCTGCGTCATCAGACCAACCTGTTAAAGTCGGGTACTGCTACGCGCGCCAGCAAAGGAGCCATCAACCTTGCCGCACTTCGAAAGGAGTTCGCGAAGTAATCTGCCAGGGAAGGGGATCACTCAGGAGAAGGAGCACTTGCTGTGACGCAGTCAGTACTCATTGTAGGAGTCGTCGTATCTGTATTACTACTGTGTGGAGTGGTGTAGCGGGAGTTAGAGGTTCATGGTGTGGAAGAGCTAGCTGTTGTACCCCAGCCCGTGGATGCAAAGGGGCTTCTCACCTGTTGTTTAATGGATAAGAAGAACACGATCACTTTCTGCGAGCTCAACATCAACGGGCTCGGAAGCGCAGGGAAGCAGACCAAGTGTAGAAACTGGTTGCGAGGGAAAACAAATATTGCTATTCTCACAGACACTAGAGTTAAGGCGGACCACAATTTCTGGACTCAACTCAAACCAGCGGCAGTCGCTGCCGTGGGTCTGGCAGACACAGCAGGTGGGGTGGCGGTACTGAGCTTCGTACCTGGCATGGTCTTCTCCAGCACGTACTTGCATGACTCAGGCAGACTGGTAGCAGTGGTGGTCAAGTGGGGTGAACTGGAACTGCTTCTCATAGCTGCGTACCTGCCGGCGCAGCCGGAGAACGGAGCACCTTTTTACAGAGACTGCCTGGGACCGTTTCTGAGCACCCTTCCGGACCTGAAGAACATTCTGGTGATGGGGGATTTAAACGTCGTAGAGGATCCAGAGATCGACAAATCCACTGGCTTAGGTTCAGCGGCGGAGAATCGGCGGCTGATGAGTTTTTGGGCGCGCACTTCTCTCACGGACGCTTTCCGCTATGTGCATCCTGGGAAGCGGGAGTACACTTTCCACGCAAAAGGTCAAGGTGTGAGCACCAGAATCGACCGTGCGCTGCTCTCGCAGCCCCTGTTGTGCAAGCTGGTGGACGCTCGCCATAAAGCAATAAAAAATAAGATGGGAAAAAAGGGCCTGGGATCTGGAGGCTGAGGGCTGCGCAGGCAAAGAGAAAGGGCGTCAGGGAGAAGGTGAAGCAGGTGCTACGCGACACCCGTGGGGACCTGGCAGAAATACTCCCGAGGCTGTCGTCCTGTCTGAGGGCTTATTCGCGAGAAGAAAGGAAGCGGATTAAGGCGACTAAGGCGCATCTGGAGCGGGAGGTGGAGGTGTTCCGCAGCAGACTGTCACGGAAACCGGGGTGTCGGCGCACAGGGGCGATTCTGCTCAAGAAGGAAGAGCTGCTGAACGCATACGAGAAGCGTCACATGGAGAACCTGCAGGCGTGGGCCGGCATCAAATCAGAGTTAGATGGGGAGGCGACAACAGGTTTTCTGTCTGGGAAAGTTAAGGCACGAAAGGCGAAAACGGAGGTTCACGAGGTTAAGCTTAAGGGGAAAGTCTTTATTGGAGCAAGAGAAGTACTGGTGGCGGCGACGGAGTTTTTCAAAGACTCCTTTGGCGGCGACGATATTTCAGACGGTGGGGACGTGGAGTCTGACCCACTGCAACGTACCATCAGTGAGGCGAGCAAGGAAGCCCTCAGAGCACCGTGGTCAGAAGAGGAGGTGCGGATGGCGGTGCGAGAGCTGGCCTCGGGGAAATCACCGGGGCAGGATGGCCTGCCCAAGGAGCTGTTCAAACACAACTGGGAGCTGCTGGAGCCAGTTCTGATGCAGTTTGCCGCCGATTTCACCCGCACACTGGAACTTCCCAGCAGCGTCTCAACTGCTGTCAATAACACTGCTCAGCACAGTCTACAAAATCTTAGCGAAGGTTCTTGCGACGAGGCTGAAAAAAGTGTTGCACGAAGAAATTTCGGAGGACCAGGTTGGTTTCTTACCGGGGCGGAAGCTGGCAGACTCGATCATGGTTGTAGCGAATGCCATCGAAGCAGGTGTCAGCGGCAGGGAGGACTTGTATCTGCTGATGATTGACTTCCGTAAGGCTTTCAACTCCATATCGCGGCCCTTTCTTTTCCGTACGCTGAGAAGGATGGGTATTCCGGAGGAATTTGTCGCCTGGGCGGAGGGATTGCACAGGTTCACGTGATACGGCTGGACTGGTGATACGGGCTCCAATGGCTTCTTGCTCCTGCCAGCCACACTATGGAAAGGGAAACGGGTGAACTTTGAAAGCAGGCAAATTTCACAGTTCTCATCGGGTGGCTGTCCGTTCAGCTTCAAGCCCTCAACAGCTCCATCTTTCTCCAGCTGCTTCAGTGCCACATGCCCCAAGCGTCGGTGTGCCGTTGCCCAATCCGTCTCCCCAGATCTGTCCGACACTTTCACGCCACCCCCCTGGGATGCAGACCCCTCTCTAGCCTGCCCCCCACCGTGCCACGCCAACGCCGGCAGCTGCCACATGGATCTGTACACGTCCTTGCTCTCGTGCAGATCCCAAAGCACCCGATTGCCCAGCTGCCCTTTGTACGTGCGAGCCCCATCCGTGCTAGTGCTCACCCCAGCCTTGGCAAGCTTACGAAGGGAGATGAGGTTGGCCTTGAGGTCGGGGACGAGGAGAACGTCGTGCAGCACCACCGGCTTGCCATCCGCTCCCTTAAACGCAGCTCGTCCCGCACCAGCCACCTTCAGCGCGTGTCCAGAGGCGGAGCACACCTCGTTAATCGGTGCAGCGCGTACGTCGTCCAGCAGGTCTTTGCGCGGCGTCATCGTCCAAGCAGCGCCCGTGTCCAACACCCAATAGTCCAGGGGGTGCAGCTCTGCTCCAACCTTGGCAGAGGCGTCTCCTTGCTCCCCCTGCTCTCCAATATGGAAGAATTGGCCCGCAGTGCGCTCCTTCTTCTTCTCCGCACCACCGTTGCTCTTCGGGTTGTTGTCGGACGAATCAGCGACCATGTTCGCGCCATTTTTCTGGTTCCTCCGCGCGCCGCCATCCTGTTGACGATTCTGGGGGGTCCATCCATCGGGTTTCTTATAGCACAAAAACCAGGGGTGCCCTTCCTTCTTACAATACCAGCAACTCCCTTTCATTTTGCCACCAGCACCCGACTTGCCCCCACGTCCAGATTTCGCACCGCGACCCCAACCGGTACCTCCTTGTTGGTCGTTGGAGTCGTCGTCCTTCTTTGCACCGTGCCCAGCACCACCGAAGCCACGTCCTCTGCCACGTCGGTTCCCTTGCATCCCATAGCCGCTGCTGCCGTCGTCTCCACCCTTCAGTTTGCGGCGACGGAAGTCCTCCTCCAGAATCTTCGTCCGCACCCACTCGAGCGTCCACGAGCTCTGGTTCTGCGGCAGGCTCAATCCGCTTGTGAATTGAAGCCACGATTCCGGCAGCAGTGAGAGCATCTTCAGGCACTTGGTCTGCTTTGGGTAGGTGATTCCCACGATTGCCAACTTCGCGTAGAGGTCGCACATCTTGTCCAAGACTGGTTGCACCGGCTCTCCCTCGCTCAATCGCAACGCGGACAGCTCCCTCTCCATCATGAGCGTTGCGGCGACGGAGGTAGGAGCGTGCAGCTCCTTCAGCACGGTCCACGCCTTTGGACCGCAATCAACCTCCGGCAGCAGGTGCATGACGTGGTGACACTGGTTCAGCTCCAAACTCTGCGACATCAAATAGTAGCCAGCCGAGGCGCGCTCGTCCCAATCTTCCTGCAGCGCGGGGTCACTCGGTCTAGGCTCTTCCCCAATCATTGGTTTCGGCAATCCAATCTGACGGAAGTAAAGCTGCATTTTCCAGGCCCAATCATCATAGCCCTCACCATTGAACTTCTCGACGGTGAAATTCTTCAGCACCTCCTTGATCAGCGAGCTCTAGTTGGTTCGCGCTCCCCTTGGTGCCGAAACACCAGAATCTTGGCTGCCGCTACAATCTTGGGCTGAAAATTCACCAGCTCTCGCAGAGGTGTTGCCCGCCATAGCTACCTATAACGAGGATCGCTAAAACGCAACTCTAAAACCAGCTTGTTGATGTAAGGGCCTAATAAACTCAAGCTATTAAGACTTAATCAAACTTAAAACCTCTCCTCGGGGTCACCTCTAAGGGTCCCTGGGTGCCTGGTACAAGACCAGCCCCTATCCTCGGGTCCGAGTTTGTAGAGAGAGGAGTAAAGAATGACTTGAACGTCGCGTAGCGTGCCATGCAGATCGTTGATCGGATTAAGCTGAGAATTTGTTGTATCGAAGCTCGCTCCAAGAGCTTTAAAATAAGCCAAGTTGCCTTGCGAAATGTTTCAGCCATTACGAAGTTATGGCTCGGACGGCGTTTGCCTAGCGTTGGAGTGCTAGCATACTAGCGTTGACTCGGGTAGCATTCCGCCGTCGAATACTGCTGAAACAAAACCCCAACGAGGAAGGAATTCGCATGAATCAATTTGACTATATTCAGGTACAAACAGAGAAGGATTAAATAGTTCTAGCTAGCAAGGACCTTGGGAATCAACCTGGGAACAACCAGGGATGATCCCAAATAATTCCAAGCAACAGAACCAACCTGGCTGGACAAAATAGCAGGTGGTAGGTTGGTAAACAACCTCTGGTTCTGTTTTTCCAACCTGGGAAAACAACAACCAGGTTCAGGTTCTAAAAACAGAACCTGTTTTGTCTTTGCCCAACCAGCCAAATGCTGGTTCCGCTGGTTTCCCCTGGTCCTGTAGCATGCAGATACAGGCAAACAACATCCAACCTTTACCCAAACTGTACCCCTATAGTGCTTGCCCTGCTACACTATAGTCAACCGAACAAAACAGTACAATTTCGAGTTGGATAGAACTGAATCTGCGCAATCCATTCAACCGAACCGCAAAGCTTCCATCTTGGGTTCCTTTGCGAGCTCGTCCTTTCTACTTGCACTGTTCATAGCGCGTACAATGATGTGCCAAAGCACACATTGCGCGAGTACCTGCAAATGCATCAAGTGAAAATTGCGAAAGCAAACAAACACACGAACATTCCATTCACACCCAAATGCATTCGCACACGCATATTCGTACAAACAGACGGCAGGATGTCGTGCAATATGAATTTGCAGCCAACATGGGGGAGTGTTGTACTTCCTCACCATGGTGGTCGAATGGAGCCGGTTCACATGGGCACGTCCCTTGTCCAATGAAGGAGGATTGGTGAAGGGGCAATTAAGGAGGATTGGTTGCCGATAGTGGAGTGGCAAGTGATGCGGCTGGTGAAGGTGCTGAGGAGCAACAGTGGTGGAGAGTTCCTTGGAGCGGAATTCACCAAGTTTCTCAAGAGGAACGGCATCCGACACCAGCTGACCTGCCCTGGAACATCGCAGCAGAATGGCATTGCTGAGCATACCAACCGGACCATTGGCGAGGCGGCTAAGACCTTGTTGGGGGCTGCTGGGATGCCCTACAAGTTCTGGCCAGAAGCTGTTCGCCATGTCATCACGGTCAAGAACAGGGTCTTGACACATGTTGGCAACAATCATTGGGTGCCGTACGAGCGTTGGCTTGGGAAGAAGCCATCCATTGACATGCTGCGGGTGTGGGGCTGCATGGGGCTTGTGATGGTGTCGATGGAGCAGATGCACAAGCTGGTGGGTCAGAGCTGATCAGTGACCATAGTGGCGGTGGTAAGCAGGAAGTTTCTGGTCCTGCTGCGAAGAGGGGTTGGAGGATGAGTCGGCACGTGTGGACTCACTATCTCAGCCCGTGCGTGCTGCAACCGCCAAGAGGAGTGTGCAGAAAGGAGCTTCACCACATGGGCAGCAGACTGCAACCCGCGAGAAGAGAGTGGCAGCACCACCTTCAAGGCTGAAGTATAGCCGTTTGGGAGGACCCAAGCAAGGTGCCATGGCGGTTCAGGCGGATGAGGGAGAGGATGAGGAGATGGCCTTCTGTTTCTTCACACCCTTGCCTGGAGAACCAACCACAGTGGAGGAGGCACCTAGTGGACCCAAGAAGGAGGAGCGGAAGGCTGCCATGGACGCGGAGTTCAACAGTCTCATTAAGGATGGGACTTGGGAGCTTGTTGAGTTACCCGAGGGGCGACGGCCGATCAGCAGCAAGTGGGTCTTCAAGGTGAAGAGTGGAGCTGATGGTGCTTTGGAGCGGTTCAAGAGCCGCTTGGTCGCCAAGGGGTTTCAGCAGAAGGAGAAGGTGGACTTTGGGGAGATCTTCGCTCTCATTGCTAAGCCAGTGACATCGAGGACTTTGCTGGCGATCGTAGCTATGAAGGGATGGCACGTGAAGCAGATGGATATCACCACTGCATTCCTCAATGGAATACTGCTGGAGGATATCTACATGGCACAACCCGACGGCTATGAGGATGGGACCAGCCGGGTGTGCAAGCTCAAGAAGGCTATCTATGGCCTTAAGCAAGCGCCCAGGTGCTGGTACGAGAAGCTGGAGGAGGTGCTGCTGGGTGGAGGCTTCAAGACGTCCCAAGCGGATCACAGCTTGTTTCTGCTTGGAGAGGGGAAGCAACTGCTCTTGCTGCTCGTGTATCTCAACGACATACTGCTGTTCTCACCTTCCATGGAGCAGATTGAGAGGACACAGAAGCTGCTGATGGACAACTTCAAGTGCAAGATGTTGGGGGACGTCCACTACTGTTTGGCGCTGCGAATTGAGAGGGTTGTTGAAAGGAGGTGGCTGAAGGAGCATTAGTCACACTACATCTCTGGTGTCATGGAGCACTATAATGTGACTAGGGGTCGCACTGTGATGACGCCGTTTCCTGCGGGCTTCAAGTTGAAGAAGGCAGCTGAGGAGGATGATGTACTCGAGGATGAGCAGCAGAATGAGTACCAGTCACGCATTGGGAGTGTGATGTATGCAGTTGTGCTTACGCGACCTGATGCTTCATTCGGAGTGGGGCAGCTGGCCAGAGTTGTGCAGCGGCCCACTGAGGAGCAGTTGGAGGTGGCAAAGCGCTTGGTGCGCTACCTCGGATCAACGGCATCTGCTGGTGTTCAGTTTTCAGCTGGCGGGCAGCTGAAACAGTTTGGAGCAGATGGGATCACGCCTGGAACCTTGAAGCTGTCGTGCTTCACCGACGCTACATGGGCCTCAGAGGAGGAGGATCAGTCATCAGTTGGCGGCTTTGTGTGCATGGTCGGAGGTG